TGCGTGTGGACTGGGACGAGTCAGTCCCTCAAAATCTTCACTCAGCTTGGAAAACATTTATTCAAGATCTTACAACGCTTTCATCGGTTAAGGTGCCGAGGTACTGCCTATCCATAAACCATCAACAGGTTGATGTACACGGTTTCTGTGACGCTTCAATACGCGCATATGGTTGCTGCATATTTCTCCGATCACAAAACACATCAGGTAAGGTGACGGTCAAGCTATTTACTGCAAAATCCCGTGTGGCACCTATAAAGCGGAAGTCGCTACCTAAACTAGAACTCTGTGGTGCCTTACTTCTTGCCAAACTGTATCAGAAGGTCCAACCAATATTTGCGCAATTTAAGGGTGAAACGTTTTTTTGGACTGATTCACAGATTGTATTACATTGGTTGAAGCAGCACTCATCAACCCTGTCTGCATTCGTTGGCAATCGAGTAGCGGAAATTCAAGATATTACCGCAAATGGGCAATGGAGACACGTTCCTACCCAATCCAACCCGGCAGATGTTGTGTCGCGCGGCTGTAACATCCGCCAATTATCAGAGTCTTGTTGGTTTACGGGGCCGGAATTTTTGTTACTCGCTGATAAATACTGGCCGCATTTGAAATGTCACAACCTGGATATGGAAGAAGTCAATAAAGAGACGCGAAAGGTTGTATTCGTTAACACAAATGAAGACAACTACGTATTACAGGTATTGTCAAGATATAGTTCATACACTAAGATGCTACGAGTAATAGCGCAGGTACAGCGTTTTTATCATGTAACCAAGAATAAATTGAAGAACGGAGAATGTACCCTCCAACCTATTCAGCTACAAAAGGCATTGCACTGTATTATTTGGGTCATCCAACAGCAATTCTTCGAAATTGATATACAACGCCTACAACGAGGGAACCCAGCCGAAGGTACATTAAAGCATCTAAATCCCTTCCTGGACAATGTATTCGGTTATCAATTACTAAAGGTGGGAGGTCGCCTCGAGCTGAGTGACATCTCAGTAGGCCAACGTCACCCTATTTTGTTGCCGAAGGGCTGTTATTTTGTGGAACTTTATGTTCGGCATATACACTTGTGCAACTATCATGCAGGCGCAAAAGCACTAATTGCCCTTACTCGACTAAACTTCTGGATAATTAATATTCGAGAAATTGCACGCCGAGTCGTGCACTCGTGTATTCACTGCGTGCGTTATAAACCCAAACTACTTAATCAAATGATGGGTAATCTCCCAATCGAACGCCTCACTCCAAGCCGTCCATTCGCGCGTACTGCGGTAGATTTTTGCGGTCCGATATTAACGTATCTCCGAATTCGGGGACGGGTTCCATATAAGACCTATATAGCCGTGTTCGTTTGTTTGTCTACAAAGGCAGCTCATCTAGAAGCCGTGTCAGACTTATCTACGGAGGCATTTATTGCAGCACTGAAAAGGTTAATCGGTAGACGAGGGTTACCATCAGACATCTATTGCGACAACGCCACGAACTTCGTTGGGGCTAACAACAAACTAGCAGAGTTAAAAAGAATGTTTTTCGAGAAGTCTAATCAAGTGATGCTGCAGACCTTTTGCAGCAACCAATTCATAAATTTCAATTTTATACCGCCCCGAGCACCTCACTTTGGAGGTCTATGGGAAGCGGCTGTAAAAAGCGCGAAAGGCCATCTGTATCGAACATTATCAAATACTCGATTCACCTTTGAGGAGCTTGGAACAGCACTGATTGAAATCGAAGCTATCTTAAATTCGCGACCAATCACACCTCATTCTTGTGACCCGAGCGATTATGAAGCGCTAACGCCAGCACATTTTCTTATCGGTGGGCCGCTCAAAACTTTATCTGAACCAAGTCCTCAGTATGAAGCTGCTTCATTAATTGATAAATGGTCTCGTATAACCGCAGTCAAACATCACTTCTGGCGCAGATGGTCTAGAGACTATCTGAATGAGCTGCAGATACGCACCAAATGGACAGAAGAACAATCTAACATCACCGAGGGGGCTCTGGTTTTAATCCATGAAGACAATATGCCTCCACAACGCTGGTTGATGGGCCGAATCGTGCATTGCATCAGGGGTCCAGATAATTTGGTTCGTGTTGTTGATGTGCAAACCCCAAAAGGAGTAATACGGCGTCCAATCCACAAACTCGCACTATTACCAATTGAAAATCCTTTCAAGGGGGGCGGGATGTTAGAGCGGTTAAAGTCAAATTGTTAATATTGTAGGATTCTGTAGAATTATTATAATTGATGTGTTATATGATTTATATATTATATTTTATTATATTTTAATCTATTTTAAATCATATATTGTATAATTAAATTATTATAATTAATATATTATATAATTCATATATAATATTTTATATGTTTAATATATATGGTTAATTAATTTATCTAACTAACCCTGTATAAGATGTAATCAAACCAACGGTTCTAAGTCTTGTTTTTATTGCCTTTTGTTTTTGCGCTCGAGATGAGCAATTTTTTTGTTATATTTTTTGGGCTGCAAGTAAACTCCGTTGGTTTGATTCTGTCTCTTGTTTTTCGATCGCGAACGTGTCAACACACGGGTACACATAAAAAAGTGATTAAACAATCAATAACCGAAATTGTATAAATTCAATTGTATAAATTAAATGAAATCAAACCCAATTATAAAAACGTTTATAATTTACATTGTGTTAAAGAAATTGAAATAAAGATCATAAAATCCAATTATAAAAACGCTTATAATTTACAATATTTTTTTGCTAAGCTATTAATATTCGAATTTTTATGCTAATTTTATATTAGATATTTCTAAAGCTTTCAACAGATTCATGTACATTTTTTTTTTAAGTGTAAGAATTATTATATTATTTCTTGGTAATAATTTAAGTTTTATAAGTATATGTAAATTGTATTAGAACATATCTTACATATTTTAGTCATATACATTGTACAAAATTCAATTATTCATTATTGTTATTTTCTTATGAAACGAATACCTCTACCAATTCGTTAGGAATGTGGCAAATGATGTTCCTGAGAGTGATGATGTTGTTCTGTTGTAAGACCTTGTGTAGTCCATTGTACAATCTGTAATTCTTGTTGATGCTCGTCTATTGACGATTTTTAGTTAATGGCCATATTTTTATTGGTTTTTGGATCAATTATCTTGACTGTAGTACAGTTATTTAAAACATTATTTTCAATATTGTTTGTTCAAAAATAGTTTTTTTTTTCTTTTTTTAATTGCCTTTATTCCTTTCAAATCATTCAATTTATTCAATACCGCTTTTTTGAACACTTATTTTATGTTTTTAATGAAAATGTTTGTGTTTATTTTATCGTAATTTTATTTTATATCGATTTATTATTAATTTTTAGTATCGCGAATATTTTCACTTTTTGTATAAAATAATAAATTTTTATATTATTATTTTTTAATTTCTTTGAGTTCTTCCAAAATTTGATTTTTCAAATGCCGATCTACCTTAGCGGCTGCTGATCGCTTTCGTAACTGCTCTAGGATGGCTTCGCGTTCTTCGTTCAAAATTTGATTTCTCAAATGCCGATCTACCTTAGCGGCTGCTGATCGTTTTCGTAATTGTTCTAGGACGGCTTCGCGTTCTTCGTTCAAAATTTGATTTTTCAAATGTTGATCTACTTTAGCGGCTGCTGATCGTTTTCGTAATTGTTCTAGGACGGCTTCGCGTTCTTCGTTCAAAATTTGATTTTTCAAATGTTGATCTACTTTAGCGGCTGCTGATCGTTTTCGTAATTGTTCTAGGACGGCTTTGTGATCATCGTCCATATTCTCATTCTCCCGATCGGTTGATTCCTGTATCAACAGTTGAATCCTGCGGGCTTCCTCGTCGCTTATGATATCTCCCATCCTGAGTTATGTATTATTGTTATTATTTGTTGTTTTTATTGTTATATATATTTTTTAAATTTCTTCTCCTCTTTTATGAGGATACTTATTATTTTTATATCGGGACCACTGCTTTCCTGTATACCTTGGACTCAGTTCAGGTTGACAGTTTATGAATAATTTATTTCAAGCGGCTGATTATATTAAGTCACTTTCTTGTTAAATTATTTTGATTAGTGTTCGTGACTGTGCGATTCTTTATTATTAAATTTGGCTTTTCTGTGATTTAACCTTTTTTGGGTTACTTTTAATTTTTCACCACTTTGTTATTCACTTTATTAGTTCACCAAATGTTTTATTCAAATAGCACTTTGATCACTTTACGTATAACACTTTTTTCAATGTTTTCTTTTCTCCTTTATTAGGATACTTGTTAGTTTCTAATCCACTGCAAACACCTTTGTTATCGGGTGTTATATATTGCAGGAATTTTTTATTTTACACTCGCGTCGCGTACTTTTTATTTTTCCGCAATTGTGACGAGTGTCCCTGCTCGGGCGCCAATTATTTCATTCGTGTTCGGTTAAATGTTTTAAAAAAATATATTTATTAATGGGTAGAATTCGCTTCTAACCCTCTTAAAACCGTACAAAAGAATGAATACTTAAAACTAACTTAAAATTAAAAATGAAAACTTTAACGTTCTACATATTACGATATTTACTCTAAAATGCTTAGCCGACAAAATCCAACAAAGTGAGCGATGCTCTTGCTTTTATATTCAAATGGTCTGAGCTTACAAATAAAGCTTTTTACTCAAAGCTTGCTCAGATCGTAATTTAAATTCTAACTTGTTCTCTATATTTTCTCTTACAAAATAACTTACTGTTTTATACTTAACCCTATAAAGTGAGAGCATGCGATAACATGCATATATACAATGCATATCATATATAAAAATGCATATATACTATATATATATATATATATATACATATATATAAGTGACATTAAGCTCTCTCCCAACATCATTAAATTGAACAAAAAAAGAACTTGCTGCGCTAAGCAGGTAAAACCTTTTTTTAGTCAGTCGTAATTAAGCTTGCATCATACAAGGTACAAAATAAAATTTTTATACAAAAATCAAAAAATCGTTTTTATTAAAAATTGTCACTGGCGCAGTCGGTAGGATCAGTGAAAATGATCCTTTAAGAACCAATAAACAATTAAATATAAAAAAAATTTTCTTCTTGTAAAATTAGAAAAAACAAACAAACAAAATTTTGCAAATGTTCGTGATATTTTAAGTGCCGTAGACACAAAAAAAAAAAAAATATACAAAACCAAAAAATTAATTTAAAATTTTAATTAAAATTTAATTTAATTTAATTTAAAAAAAGAAAAATTTAAATATTGTAATTTGAATTATAATTGAATTCAATTCAATTCTCCAAACAAACAAAACTGTAACTTATAAAAAAGTTTCTTTTTTAAATAAAAAACAAACTGAAATTTTGCAAATGTTCGTGATATTTTAAGTGCTGTGGACACAAAACAAATACAAAAACAAAAACTATCAAAAAAAATTTAATGTACCAGTTAAACCTTGAAACGAAATAACAGGAATTTAACTTTAACTGTAGAAGCTGATCAAGAACCTAGTAAAGAGAAAAAAATTATATTCAGAGAAGTAGAATATTAAACATTTTTTTAAAAAAAAAAAAATAAAAAAAACGAACTTTGCGTTTCTAATTGTGAAGCTTTAAAGTTTTAAATTTAAACTTAAAATTTATTAAAAATAAAATAAAACAGCAGTAAAAACTTAGAATAACAATTTTTAAAACGAACTTTGCGTTTCTAATTGTGAAGCTTTAAAGTTTTAAATTTAAACTTAAAATTTATTAAAATAAAACAAACCAGCAGTAAAGACTTAGAATAACAATTTTTTTTTTCTACATGTTTAAAAGTAATTAAGAAAAATTACACAAATCAAGAACAATTAATTAGTTATTATCTTTAATCAATTCTGTTTTTAATATTAATAACTGTTTTAAAAATATGGTTTATTATTATATAAATTGATGAATCCGACAAAAAGATTATAAAATAAAAAAAAAATCAAATCAAAAAATTTTTAATCTCAAAAATTAGTCAAAGTTAGTCAACGTGTCGTATATCAGCAGCAACAGTAAAAGAATAAAAAATTATTCTTATAAATAAAAAAAAGGAAATACAAAAAAAAAAATAAGATAAATCAAAAGTACAAAATATTCCTAATTTTTGTGCAATTACGGCAGAGTTTGCTACCAAAACTTTCCACAAAACGTATACAACAATTTTTAGAGGATCTAACATTGTCACCATCTAAAATCAGTTGTCCAAAATGACCGAAGAAAAAACGAGTGTTAACACCATGATTGAAGGAAGAGAAAGAAGAGATAGAACGGTGGCAGGTGTAAAACTGATCGCTCCATTTGATGGCGACAATAAATTCCTGGCACTGTATATCGATAGCATCAACGCAATCATACCAGAGTCTTCATCTCTTACGGGCGAAGAGAAACCATTCTACTTCCAGTGTGTAATTAGCACTCTTCGTGGAGAAGCCCTGAACTTAGTAAGAAGAGAAGAACCAACTTGTTGGGAGGAGTTGAAGGCGCATTTGATTTATGAGTTTACGGATTCCAGTCCAATCACAACGCAACTGTTATTAGTAAGTAATATTAAATTTAAAGATAAAGTTAGAGAATTTTGCGAAGAAATTAATTCCGAAATATGCAAAGTTAGGGATAATATTAAATTAAAAGAAACCAACATAACAAATATTAACTTCTTGCTCAATGAACTAAAAATGTTAAGTGTAAAAACACTGAAAAAGGAACTACCCTACCACTTAACGGCTCTAATTAATGCAAACATGGCTGCAGACGTTAACTCTGCTATAAAAATTTTAAAAGAGAATGATGAATATAACAATATTGTAGTTGGGAAAAATATTCATTATAACCAACAATCAGGTTCTCAACTCAATAACGTTAGAAACTCGCATCAAATTGCATGCAATATTGATCATTATGGTAATAGTTCCTATAATATACCATATAAGAACCCTAATAAATTTCACGGTTCGCGAAACCAAAACTTTAATAGAGCTTCGGAGGTTGATAACTAAAATTTTCGGTTAGAAGCCCCGGACTCTTACCAAAAATAGAATTAAAATTACAAAATCAAACCTTTGAATTTCTTATTGATACAGGTTCATCAGTAAGCCTTGTTCAACCCAATATCTTAAAATCTCCAATATTAAAAGTAAAACCAATAACAGTAGCAACAATAACAGGGCAAATTACATTAAACAATATTCAAGAGGTTTATAATGATAAAGGAAAAAATTATTTGAAAGTTTATGTGTGTGACCTCTCTAAAAATTATGATGGTCTTCTAGGTTTCGATGTACTTCAGCAGCTTCAAGCGAAAATTGACGTTGTTCATAAAAATGTTATATTAAACAATATTACTTATAAATTTAAAAATAATTTCGATAATAAAATTAAAGAACTTCACTTCAATAGCAATGCTTATGAACCGAAATTTAGACTAAATCATTTAAATGATAAGATATTAAATAAGTTTGAAAATTTATGGTATAAAGTAGGCGATAAATTAACATTTACTAATAAAATCAAACATCGAATCAACACAACTCATGATGATCCTATATATGTTAAGTCCTACAGATACCCTGAAGTCCACAAATCAGAAGTCGATACACAAATAAAAGAAATGTTAGATCAGGGGATTATTTGTCACAGTAAATCGCCTTATTCTGCACCAATTTGGGTGGTGCCTAAGAAGTTAGATGCTTCAAAAATTCAGAAATGGCGAATCGTAATCGATTACCGTAAATTGAATGATATAACTATTAGTGATAAATATCCGATACCCTT